CCCAATCAAGGTCCCTATCACCCAGCAAGGCACCCCACATCCAAACCAGACCTGATTCCGAACGGCATCCAAGGGTTAGATCTATGGGTAGATCTACAGAGAACCCAGCTAGCAGGCAGCCTGCAGCCAACAGCCCCAAGCACACACCCGGAGAATGTCCGCTGAGCGCTGGGGGCGGGCTGTCCCAAGGCCCCGCTTGCACTTTGTCCTGCCTCTGTCTCCTCTCCTGCTCTCTCTCTCATGTTGCCCCACCTCGTCTTGGCCTGACCCCGGCCTGTGTCTTACAATCACCCATTGTGCTGGGAGTGGTGAGGCAGGCAGAGAGCTGTGTTCTCTGGGGCTCTGGAATAAAGGCTCCTGAACAGCAGAGGAAGTCACTCTCAATTAGCTGGAAAAGGGAGAAACACGAGAGCAGAGAGGAGAAGCTTGGGGTGTTTTCTGCAGTCTGTGGGAACGGCCTCGGAATGAAGCTGATTAAGAAGAAGGAGGGAGACACTGATCCTTGGTAAATGTGGTTCTAGGGCCGGGACAGATGTCTATCTTCAGGGCATGGCATCCTGCAGCCCCTGCTGCAAAGGCTCGTCTGGGACGAGCACCAGGGAGTCCCTCTTCATACAGGGACTATTTGCTAAGGGTCTTTGGAACCTGCTTAGCCCCATGCCAGGCACTCTGGGGATATATGAGGGGAAGAGCCCACGGTGGCTTCAGGACATGATGAGAGATTAGGGTCAAGGCCTGCCTGGGCCAGAACAGTTTGTCCAGCCCTTGGCACACCTGTGGCTTGACAGAACTGGACATTTTGATTAGGGAAGAGTTTTTACAAGGATCCCCAGAGGCTCTGCTTTTTTCAGCTGGCGTGGCTGAGATTACCACCTGTTCCCATTTCCTCTGACCTCTGGGAAGTCGTTCTACCTTCCCCTACCCCCACTCCCACCAGAAGCTGAAATGACAGCGATCCCCTGCCTCACACTGTGCCCAGGGCCCCTCCCTGCCCCCCAGCTGCAGGCTCTGAGCTCCCTGAGGACAAGCGTAGTACCTGTCTCCTTCCAGACGAAACACCACGCATGCCCTTGAAACATTTGGGAAAGGGTAGGAGCGTGGGACAGAGGGAGGCCTGGTGAACAAGCTGGGCTGAGCTCCCAGCCTCCTGACCTCCAGCTCAAAACTCCCCAGTGGGTGTGAGAGTTTCCTAGGGAACAGGTCTGGCCAGCACCTCCACCAGTCCCATCCCCAGCAGCTGCTTGCCTTAGATGCCCTCCTCTTCCCTGTGGTCTTGACATTGCCTTGATCCAGCTGGGGTTCACGCTTAACCCAGAAAGGGCTAGAAAAAAATGTATGTCTAGGCCCAGCACAAGGCTGCCTTTGTGTGGAGGTCAGATCCCAGCTGCTCTGTGGCCCAACTCAGTGGAGCTGTCCCCGGGAGAACAGCCATCTGGGCAGCTCAGAACCCAGCCTGGGGACCAGAGCTTGAGGACCCTCCAGCTTCTTGGGAACTCAAGGAGACCCAGGTGAACTCTGATTCCTGCAGGCAAGCCTCTAAGAGCTCTCCAGAGGGACTGCAGCTTGGCAGTTAGGAGGCAGGGGCTGGCCAGGGCATGCAGGAGGGGAGAGGACCACACCTAAACGGTCCCAAAGAGGCAGTGTGCCAGTTAAGACTTCCACATCTTACTAGCTGTGTCATTCTGAGAACTCACTGAACTTGTCTGAGCTCAGTTTGCCCTACCACATGAGAATGATAAAAGTGCCTACCCCACTGCTGCCATGAAGAGAAGATGAAAGATGAAAGTTTATCCCTGAGCACAGAGCCTAGCATACGGTAAATGTTCAGTAAAAGTTGCTCTTGTTAAGGGGGCAGATGTGTGGGGAAGAACGATTTAACCCCTCTTGTAATGCGCTGAGGCCCCTCTCCCCAAACAGTCTTTGGTACAGATAGTTGCCTTTCCTCAATTTTATGGAAATGGCAGCTTCGAGGCCCCTTCCCACATGTGGCTGCTCCAATGTCCTCTCCCATACAGAGTCTGGAGCCAGGACTCTTGGAGCTGCTGGGGAATCGTGCAGATAAGCCCCAGGGCCAGGCCAGCACACAGTGGGCACTCAAGCCATGGTGAATCTGGATCTTACTGCAGCTGCATTCCAGAGCCCCCCCCCCCCTTCAAAACCCTGGAGGCTACATGAGTTAGGGTTCAGAGGAGTGTGACCCACAGGGCAGGCTTGTGGGAGCCAATGAGGTCTGCCTGGCACTGCCCTTGGCAGTGCCTGGGGTCCCTTGGGCAATGGTGCTGAGAAGCCTCCTCAGCCCCTCCCAGATTGTCCCCTTCTTCTTATCACCGGCCCTAGATGCTAAACTCCCAAGGGCAGACCACTCAGCTCAGGCCCAGGCCCAGAGGGAGCTTAAACGTCTGAGGCCAGCTAGAGGTCCTCCTCATCCAGGAAGCACCCTGATCACCCAGTTCCCAGGTAGCAGGCCTTCCTTCCTCAGCCTCTGTGTGCCCTTCACCCAGAGCCTGTCTGCCCTCAGACTAGGAGTTCTCTGAGGGCAGGATACTGTCCATCTCAGTATCCCCAGCAGCCTAGCCCTGCACAGAGGATGGAGAGTCCAGGTTCGCCCCCAGCCTGGCTGTCCCTACCAGGTTCCCGAAGTCCTGATAAACCAGAATGGCTCTGCTGCCTCCCCTACAGTTGACTACTCCTTCCCCACCCCTCCTTTAAAATTGGTGCCCCACTTCCCACCCTCGGCCTTTGCCTGGCCCCTGGCTGCCAGCCCTCTCTGATGGGTCCCTCTCTGGGATTCCCCGCCCGCTTGTTTGAAACCTGTCTATTCTCTGTGCCCCACTGCTGCAGTGCTGCCAGATGCTAACTAAGATTAAGCAACTGAGGCCCAAGGGGCTCGGATTACTTGTTCCTCCTTGGAAACACTCCCGACACGGAATGCTCCACGGGACGCTGAACTTGCACCACATTGGCTCCCTTCCAGCCCCTTGAGTTGCAAAACACCAATGCCATCACTCACAGTCAGGACTTCTGAGCTCCAGGGCTTTGCTGTGCACAGTCCCCGGGTGCTGACAGCTGCTCTATAAGCGCTGCAGAGGGAATTATCCAGTCCAAGGAAAGAAAGCCTGAGCAAGCTGATGGGACCTGCCAGAGGTGACGCAGCAAGCTGCCCTGGCTCTCGGGAAGAGAGCGTGGCAGTTGCCTGGGCCCAGCTGGCCCCTCTCCTGGGCTCTCTCGGTGCCGTTCAAACCCTTCCCCTCAGAAATCGGTCAATGCCTTCCTTGGTCCAGGTCCCTCTTCATCTCTAAGGAAGAGCAGAGAGTCAGAGTCCACTCCAGGAAAGTGCACACCTCAGGCCAGATCCCTGCCGAGGCCACCCCAAGACACCCAGCCTGGGAGAGGGGCAGCTTGTCTGATGGCAGCAGCGAGCCCCGCCGCGGTGAGGGGATTGGCGTTTGATCTCCAAGGGACCAGGCAGCCTGGGGAGCAGGGTATCTGAAGCCCTGGTCTGGTGTCTCCCCTTGTTACACCATTTACGTCTCAGCTTCCTCACAGACCATGGGAATGGTGACCTTGGCCCAGCTTTCTGCCCTCCAGCCCACGACAGAGCTTGTGACAGAGCAGAGAGGTCCCAACTCTGTTCCTGCCCTCACATCAGGCCTGTCCTCTGACCAGGAAAGCCAAGTCAGAAGAAACTCTGAGGGAAGAGTCTTCAGAACAAAGGCTCCAGTCCTCTCCGCCTTCACTGGCCTCTTTATTGCCCCATTTGGGGACGCTTGGAACTGGCCTCCCCAGCTAGTCCCACTTCGAATGCTACCACCCACTCCCCTAAACCCACAATCCCTGTTTAGCCACAAGGAAGACCCCGGATGTACCCACATCGAAGAACATTCTACGAAATACACAAGCAGGGCTTCCCTGGTGGCGCAGTGGTTGAGAGTCCGCCTGCCGATGCAGGGGACACGGGTTTGTGCCCCGGTCTGGGAAGATACCACATGCCGCGGAGCGGCTGGGCCCGTGAGCCATGGCCGCTGAGCCTGCGCGTCCGGAGCCTGTGCTCCGCAACGGGAGAGGCCACAAAAGGGAGAGGCCCGCGTACCGAAAAAAAAAAAAAAAAAAAAAATACACAAGCAGTTCAACAGTCAGCTTGTCATCTCCCCCGACCAGCTCCCACCCAAACGAACGCCCAAGGGAGCTGGAGTGGCCTCGGGATCACCACCTGGCTTCTCTGAGGAGCCTGAAGCTGGGCAAATCACAACTGAGCAAACCAGCACTTCAGAGGAAGCTCTTCAGCCCTGAGAGGTGACACAGACCAGCGACAAGACAGCAACAATGTACCATCCCAAGGACAGCACTGAACCCGGGAGGCAGTGACCCTCTGTGCCACGCACTGATACCTTGCATTTTTTTTTAAACGTCTGTTGTTGCTACAATATTGTTGTACAGCCAATAAAAATGAACAAAAGCTGTGTTATTATCATTTTGATGACTCGTCAGGGTAAATGGTAACTCTGTTTCTCACAAGGTGCAATTATCTGGAAGTGAACGTCCTTGAAAGAGCATGTGGCCTCCCAAGCTTCCAGAAACAACTCTGCCAGCTCGGGCCGGCCAGCCTGCCCCTGGGCCCAGTCAACCCGCTTGGACTCTCCAAGGCCTTGCTTATCTGGGCCTCCTCCCATCCTTCAACAACGGCTTGCTCTGGATGAGGCCCCAGCTGTCTTTCTACCTCTGACCTCTCTCCTTCCCAAACTTCTTGAAGAAAAAACTTCCTCCCGCTTCCTTCCATCAGGCTTGGCCCTGATGGCGGCAAAAAGGGTAGGGGCGTGGTGGGGTCCCTGTGGGCATGGAGATCAGGATTTCCGCCTTCCCAGTCCCCCAAAGTTCTGTCCTGCGTGGGTCCCCTGGCTTGCTTCGTTAGTGTCCCGTCAACCCCCTCCAGCACACCCAGTACAGCTCCATCCCTGCCCTGGACCACCCAGCTCTGCCCAGCAGCCTCCCACCTGGCTCACCTGGAGAATTCAACTGGGCATCTTTCACCTTCGCTGGGGACGAGAGCTTGAGAGCATGGCTTAGGGGCTCTTTGGAGAGTGTGTGCCCGTCAGTCAGGGAGCTGGCAGGGGAGAGGGAAAACAATTGTTAGAAGGTGGCAGACTGGCCTGGACTCCTGATGCTGGCCCAGAACACGTCTCAGCAGCCCCGGGGGTGACGATGGCATCTCTGCCTCCCGGGTGAGTCAGGGGAAAAGACCTTAGTAGTTGCAGGAGTTAACCTCACCCCCATGCCACCCTCCCCCTTCAGGTTCTAAGGACTCAGTAGAAAGAAAAATCAAGTCCTGCTCTGCTTTAATTTGCTGTGAGACTCTGGACAAATGCATGCCTCTCTCTGGGCTCAAGTGTCCGCATCTGGACAAAGAAAGGCTTGGGGTCTGGCACTGGAGGATTCTGAGCACCACTCCAGTGGCATGAAAACTTTGAGGGTTGGGAGGTGCCCCCACCCCCTTTCTCTCCACACCCACCAGCCCTCAGGCTTTGGGAATAGCCATGCTTAGAAACTCAGAGTGGAGCTGAGGACACTCCTACAGCTCTCACAAGTCCTAAGCAGGCGCCCAAGTGAGGCCCTCTCCCCTGCAACGGTGTCTGTGAGTGTGCCCTATGTCCATGCCCTGATGGACAGAACAGGCATGGGACCAGAGAAATCTGGGGCTCTTGCCATCTGTCTTCACTCCTGGCCCAGATCCCCCCTTGCCTCCCAGGCTTGGCAGCTCTGGACAATGAATCTCCTCTTCTGGTCAACACAGCCCATGGGGTTACTGGGCCTCCATTATCAACCCAGCCTCACTGCTCCTTGACATGATTCCTCCTCAGGGTTCAACTGGCCCGATCTCAAACTCCTGGGTGGATGAGCAGATGGGGTTCAGCATACACCTCAGGGTCAAGCAGGATTACTCAACTCCAGGGACACCTTTCACAGTCATCGGGTATGTAAACAGAGCCTACTGGAGTTGTGCAGTGTGCAACCTGTGCAGCTGGTCTTGGTAGCACTGAGGGCAGGACCTTGGCTCCAGGGAATCCCACCTGTCTGTCAGGGTGGGGCTGGTCCCATCCCTACCTAGTCCCCAGGCAGCTTGCTCAGTTACCTGCTTCTCACGTTCGTCCTTACTCCTTGCTGGTACAGCAGGTTTAAATTAAGTTTGCAAACACATTCAGGCCCACCTGGTGCCAGTCTGTTTAAGAACCTGAGATAGGTTTTAAAGCAAAAGACATCATGAGGTTATGAAGGGAGGGCAGTGAGGAGGAGGGGGATGAGTGGGGTGCCAAGCTTGTCCCCTTCTTGGGAACTTTGTGAACAAGGCTGGGCCACGGGGCTGAAGCAGCCTTCTGTTGCTATGGTGACCTGCTCCAGGGAGGCTGCCGGAAGGACTGAAAAGATGACAAAGCATGCTTCTGGGGTGAGGCCTGCTGTGCCAGGCAGAGGGAAACAGAGGGTTCTGAACACCGTGGGACTTGTCCTGCTGCCTTTGGATCATCAGTTACTGCCATTACTCTCTTGGGTTGTTGAGTAAAAGCTGCCTCCACCTTGGGACAAAGAAGACTATAATGTTATCAAATGACTCCTGCACTCAGGGCAAATGGGGGGACACGCACATCACTAGGCGGAGGGTCCCACACCGAGAGTCTGGGGGAGGACTGTGAACTTGGTGTAACATCCATGCTCTATCTCGGCCCCTGTCCTCAAAAGATAGGGCTGCCCACAGGGTAAACCAAGTGCTTAAAGCCAATCAGCTTTTGAAATCACCAGCTGTGGGCAGCCACCCCCAAATTAGCCAAGGCGATCACTGGCTGTAATCTCCCACCATCTTAACTGCTTCCTTACAAACAAGCCTGTTTTTAAATCCTCACCATCAAAAGGTACAGGCAGCATTTCTGCCATCTAATAAAATTTGCATAAACTGGTTCTGGTTTTAAAATAGCTAAACAGGTTTCCCTGGGGGCGCAGTGGTTAAGAATCCACCTGCCAATGCAGGGGACACGGGTTCGAGCCCTGATCCGGGAAGATCCCACATGCTGCGGAGCAACTAAGCCCGTGCGCCACAACTACTGAGCCTGTGCTCTAGAGCCGCGAGCCACAACTACTGTGCCCACGTGCCACAACTACTGAAGCCCGCATGCCTAGAGCCCGTGCTCCGCAGCAAGAGAAGCCACTGCAACGAGAAGCCCGCGCACCGCAACAAGGAGTAGCCCCTGATCGCTGCAACTAGAGAAAGCCCGCACAGCAATGAAGACCCAATGCAGCCAAAAATAAAATAAATTAATTTTTTTAAAAAACACCTAATTATCCAAATGAGTAAAGTATGCTCTTCCTCTTGGTTTGAACCTTCAAGATTTAGTCCCCTTAGGGGGAGGGTATCCTTGTCCATCATCTGAAACAGAATTTGCTGGACCCCCCTATAACTTTTTCCTGCTCACTTCACTCAAGGTCATACTAGTAACAAACTCTACAGGTCTGGCTTGTAACACAAAAATGAGCGAAACTGCATCGCGTCGAGGGCCATCTGCCCCTTCCCAAGATGGCTGCTGCCTCACACGTCTTTGTTGGCCATGGTCGTCTTTAGTTTTTAATTCTCACCTGCATTACTAGTGGTCACTTCTTGCCACTGTCACTGTGCTGGCCTCTAGCAGCTCACCTCCCTCCTACTTTACAGGGTTTTTTGGTAGCAGACTAGGAAATAAAATATCCAAGCTTGTTAGAATTGTCAGTTAACTCAGAGGAGATGGCTTCCAAAGTGAAATTTATAATGTTTTCCTCAAAGAAAAGAGATTTGGGGAGAAATCCCTTCAGTTTTGACTCCTTAAAAGCATTTTGGGCCCCTTCTAATTCTTGCTGCCATTCCAGAAGGTACAAGTGGCTGGTAAATGACCCCAGCAAGTGAGGTACAACTATTATAGTCAACACGATGAGCCTGGCAAAGGTGATTGACACGGTATCCCCGTCGTTCTGGAATCTTAGGCTCCTCCTGGAATACAGCGCCCCAGAGCTTGGCTCAGTCCCAGAGGCGGAAGTTCCTAAACAGCAGAACGACAGCAATGGTGGGAGAATGGCCCAAGGAGACTGACTTGCCTCTGCTTTACTCATTCCTGGGAGGAAGAAGATCCAAAAAGTATCTCTGGTGAGGACGGGAATTGCTCTCAACCCCAGCTCACACTCCACACACACACATACACACACACACTATGAGCATCTTGCCTTTACTCACTTTCACAGAAGCAAAAACTTCTTCAGCACCTGCCCAGTAGCATGGGGAGCAAGGAAACACTTGAAGGGCATGTGTGAGCAGACATACTGTGAGGTGTGTGGGGCAGGCAGAGGAGCCTGGGAGAGCCCGCACTCTCCTCTCTCTGAACTGGCTCTCCTTTCTCCTCCAATCTTGGCAGAAGAGCTGATGGGAACCATTTAATGACACAGCCTGCCACAAGCTTCCTTCAGCTCCTCCAGGAAGTCCTCCCGGATTATCCTCAACACCTCTCACCCTTGTAGCCCTCAAACACTCAGGTTTGGGCTTTGAAGGCCACACGTGGCTTGGGAAGCTCCTTAAGAGTACGGGTCATGTCTGATTCAACCCTGACCTCTGTCCCTAAGTACTCTCTGGCATGCAGTTGGAGCTCAGTAAATGTTGGTTGGATCTAATTGTTCCCAAGTTGTCACTATGTGTGTGACACGTAAGTCGAGGGGAGCCTTCGTTTTCCATGTGAACCCTTCATGGATGGGGATCCATCTCCTCTTTATTTCTGTGGCTCTTTCTTCCCAATCAACCCTCTGCTCTGTGTGCAGTAGGTGTACAATAAGTGATTTCTTGAAACAATAGAGCGTTGAGATTTACCAGAGTCGGCCTGTTCAAGTCACTTTACTTGCCGTACAACCTTGGGCAAGTCACTGTACCTCTCTGAGCCTAGGTTTTCTGCCTAAATCCTATGGCTGTTGCGAGGATAAGAGGATACATGTAAAGTGCTTAGTAGATCAACAGCTCTCATCCTTACTGGTGAACTCTCATGGATCTTTTGGGGAATAAGTAGGAAGAAATTCTTTGGTGAGATTAGGATGGTGACTAAGTAGGGTGAAAAGACCCAATCCAAGTCTGGGGGTCCAGACACCCTGCCAAGCCTGGGTACTCCCTCTGGGAGGCAGCGTGGGGGCTGGGAGGTGGGAAGAGGGTGGGATCCTTGTTCCTTACATGGTCCTCAGGGTGGAGCTGGCAGACCTGAGCAGGAGTGCCTCTGGCATGGTCACTGAGGGGTGGCCACACCCTGCGAGCTCACCGGGGAGAGAGTGAGAACCTCAGAGAGCTTGTCCCAGCATTCCCTGGGAAAGCCGCATCAGCCCCAGAGAGTTCCAGCACCACAAAACCATCCTGCAATAGAGACACAGCGTGAGTCACCTCGCGGCCTGGCTGGGCTAAGGGGGCACCTGCCCTCCTTCCTGGACACGACTCACTGGCTCCCGGCCTCGGTACCAGACTGCAATTTACTGCCTCCTAAGCCCACATGCTCTAATCGCATCAGGAACAATGCAGCATTGCAGGAGGTGGCTGCCTTCGGGCTCCGGGCTCTCTAGTCCCCAGGACCAATCTGTCACCAGGATGAGCAAATACATCAAATTCTTGGGCCTCCTGCTTTGCAAAGACTCTTGCCCACTATTGGCAGCCGTCCGGCCCCACACCCCCGTTTCTTGTTCTGGCTCTCACCTCTCTCTGCTCTGGGGGCAAAGGGAGAACTCTACTCCTATACGCCACAGGATGTTTTCAGTGGAGGGCGTTACCCAAATACTTCCCAAATCCTAAAAACCCCAAGTAGGGAGAGGAGCAGTGCCTCCTCCAAATCCCATGGTCCTGGCCACACAGGCTGGTCCCTCTGCACAGGCTGGAGCTCTCAACAGTGACCTAGTCTGCAGTGCTGCTTCCCACTGGTTTCCCCATTCCCCTGCACGGTGGACCCCACGTCCCCCACTGCTCTTTAGTCTGCATGACCTGCCTGTCTCACCTTAAAGACCAGTGCCCCTGAAATCTCTCTTGTGATTCCTGACTCCCAACCGGAAGACCCCCACCGAGGACTTAGAGAGGACTGCATGCCGCGAGGGTCTGGCTGCTGCAGGGCACTCACCTTCCTCCTTGGGGCTGGCAGGCACAGAGCTCAACATCCCCTGTGCTCCTTCAGCTAAAGCATCATGGGTGTCGGAGCCAGTGCTGCCGGGTCCCCTGGTTCCAGGTGATGATGCAGTGGGGCTGGGCGTCAGTGGGGACCCACCCCATCCTGCCTTGGGCCTGCGGGTGAGGTGTGGCCCCAGATACCTTTGACCCATCTGGCTCAGGTCCTAGCTGCTCACCTGTGAGGCTTACATAAAGAGGGCAGGAGGCAGGGGAGGGGTCTAGACGCCAGTGCAGGTGGGTATGTTGGCTGTCATCCTTGGTAGAGCCACACAAGGACACTGTTCCTGCCACTGGGCCCCCCACCTGGAGCCAGCCCTGGGCCCCAGGGGCTGGGCAGGAGGTTTGACCTTTTTTTTTTTTTTAACTTTTCTTTACTAAATGCATGTATTGTGCCAAGTGCTTTATGTGCTTTATGAGCTTTAAAGCTCTTTGCATTCTCCCAACAACCTAATATGGAATGTAGTAATAGTCTCATTTTGCAGGTGAGGTGACAGAGGCCCAGAGAGTTTTAGACTTGTTCAGTGTCACACACCCAGCAAGAGGCAGAGATGGCATTGGAAATCCAGGTCTCCATAACTGGCGCTGAAACCAGGACACCACATAAGCTAGATCTAACCATTATTTGCATCATAAAATTCAGCCAGGACTTCCCTGGTGGCGCAGTGGTTGAGAGTCTGCCTGCCGATGCAGGGGACACGGGTTCGTGCCCCGGTCCGGGAAGATCCCACATGCCGCAGAGCGGCTGGGCCCATGAGCCATGGCCACTGAGCCTGCGCGTCCGGAGCCTGTGCTCCACAGCGGGAGAGGCCACAACAGTGAGAGGCCTGCGTACCGGAAAAAAAAAAAATTCAGCCAACAGCTCCATCTCACATTGCCTCTGGCAAGCCCCTCTTCCATGGTAACAATATCTCTGCACGTTGCCCTCTTGTCCTCAAACGCCCCCTCCACTTGCACCTCATTCCAGAGACTCTCAGGTTTGTGGCATTAAACCTGCATCTTCTAAAACCTGGGCCATGCTCTCTAGAAACCCCCCTCCCAACCACTGTGCTGTTTTGCCTCCCACTCCCATCACCCCAGAGTTACCTCCCCACCTTAGTTTTCACCTGCCAACTGCCTTGGGGTGAGTGGGGATTGGATGAAGTAAAAAAATGGAGGCAGTCCCACTGGATGTTAGGGGGAACTTAAGTCCTAATTCGAAGGCTAAGAGTCAGGGCATAGCAGCAGGATGGGGCAGGAGTTATTCCAAGGCCCTCCACCCAGTCAGATGGTAGATGACTTCCAGATTGCTACACTAAGCTGGCATGTCACTACCAGCACACCAACTTCAAGAGAATTCTGCCCTTTCAAATTCCAGTTTGTTTTTTGGCTGCACTGCGTGGCACGTGAGGTCTTAGTTCCGCAACCAGGGATTGAACCTGTGACCCTGCATTGGAAACGCGGAGTCTTAACCACTGGACCACCAGGGAAGTCCCAAATTCCAGTTTCTTAATGGCCTTTTCCCCCAGTGATCCTTGCCCACTGCCACCTCAGGGCACCCTGACAATTTGGGTTCGGGGTGTTGGTCCTGAGCCTCCCATGAGTTATGAGCCCTTTGAGAAACTGCTGGGAGCCCTCCCCTGGCCCCACCATCAATGTTTGCAGATGCTCTCTTGCAGTTTCAGGGCACCCAGGGGGCTTGGGAAGCCCATGCTATATTAACAACCAACCCGGTGAACCCCAGAAGGGAATGCAGACTCTTCCTCTGTCCTGAAGAGAATACAGGCTGCCCCTCTTCTCCTCCTCCCGCTTTCCTAGTGAGGACAGAGCATTGTTATTGATGATAGGAGTTGGCACTGGGGGTCGATGTGGGTGGACATGGTGGGAGAAGTGTCCTCACTTCGGGGGGCTAGCAGGAACATGTGTCCAGATCCCTCAGCCCCTCCCGGGCAGCTCGACAGCCACTCTGGATGTAGAGTTCCCAAACTGACGAGGAGGCTGGGCAAACGGGCTTATTCTAGGCAGGAAGGCTTGGGAAATGTGTCATCTTCCCTTTCTATCCCCTAGCACAGGGAGATCAGCTCGTGCTTTGTGACCACCTAGAGGGGTGGGATAAGGAGGGTGGGAGGGAGGGAGATGCAAGAGGGAAGAGATGTGGGGACATACGTATATGTATAACTGATTCACTTTGTTATAAAGCAGAAACTAACACACCATTGTAAAGCAATTACACTCCAATAAAGATGTTAAAAAGAACAAAACAAAACAGAAAAGCCACAAGGTTGCCTCCCCCTGGCAGAAGCTTCCAACTGTTCTTCAGGCCCTTCCTCCTCCCAGAAGCCCTCTGGGAGGGACCCCCAGCTCTCATGTTTCTTCCTGGAGCTGCCCTGGCTGAGCCCATCCCAGAGCACTTAACATTGAGAGTCTGGGTGTTGCTTTTTAAAACATAATTGTCTACCATGAGATAAAAACCTTAAGCCCATATTCTCAGAGCTGGAAATGATCTCTCCCCGCCCCATGACGGACGGCTCTGCGACTCTCCTCCTTCCTACTATGATTATTGACTGAGTGCCTCCTCTGCAGACATTGCAGGGGCCCTGGGGGCAGAGGTGAGCCCATTGAGCCTGGTCCCTGCCTGGAAGGCTTGGAGATGATGGGACTGACAGTCAAAAAACAAAGATGCATTCAAGGTCACTGTGGGGTCACCAGACCCAGGCTGGGGTAGGGGGTACAGCAAAATTAAAGGGAGAAAGTTGGATAGGGGTGAAGGTTTATTTTATGAGAGGCAGAGGGTAAGCGTCCCAGGCAATGGTGCAGCAGGGGATGCTGGTGCAGACAGAAGAGGATACAGGGCCCTGGTCATAGACTCAGGCTGTGGACCGTCCCCGGCCTTGGTTCCCCAGCTCACAGGGGGACCTTGGCCAATGCAGAGATCTTTTGGGGATCCATGGTCTCTTGGAAAGGGTGAGGACGGGGCAAGGGTGGTCTAAGACATATCCCCCCAGATCCACCAGAAGGAACATATTTGGGGCAGGCACTCAGGGGCCCTTGACTGTGACTGAGCCCCCAGTCTAAGGGCCCAACAGCAGAGTGTTTGCTGAGAGGCCAAAGGCTAGTCCCAGCTTCACCTTGGCTCCCACCATCCATGGTGGTGGGGCCGTCCCGCCAGCCAGCTGACTTCTAACCCAATTGGCAGTGGCTCAGTGTTTAACCCTGTCTAGCTAATCACACAGTCTGCACGGTCACACTGAACTCCCCTGCAAAGCCTGGAAGGAGTCTGGTCATGCCCAAGACAGGTCCCTGGGCACTGGGACATCTGGATTCTAGCCCAGGTTCTGCCTTAGTTGGGTAAACTTGGGCAAGTTCCTGCTCCTCTCTGGGACTCAGTTTCCTCAGGTAAGTCACAGACAGAGGGCCTTCCAGTTTTCTGTCTATGACTGGTGATTTGGGGACCTGAGCTGGAATTCTGCTGCACCAGGCAGAGACAAGGCTACGAGGTTGGGTGTTACTAGGCTCCCAGGCCTGAGGAGCCGGGGGAAAACAAGGCAAGAATAACGATAGTAATGGCTAATAGCTAACAGGTATGCAGCACTAACTGTGCGCCAGGCAATGTTCTGTGCACCTTACACATATATTAATGCATTTAATCCTCACAACAGCCCCGTAAGGTAATTCCTATCACTATCCCCACTTTACAGATGAGGAAGCTGAAGTACAAGGAGATTATGTAACTTGCTCAAGGTCTTTCAGTTAGCAGAGTAGAATGCAAATTTGCGCAAGTGGGCTTCAGTGTTTATGCTCTTAACCAACAGGCTATACCTCAATAGTCTCAGGTCTACTGGGTGATTCAAGTGGGTGGGACAGGGGCAAAAGGGTGGGAAGTGTAGAAATGTGGGCATCCCATGGTCCTCTAAACTCCTGCTTCCAATCATTCATCATTAGACCCTTCTTTACACCCTTCCTCCAAAATTTTGAAAAATTTTGTATATAGCCAAGGTTTAAACTGTCAAACCATTTTCTTATGTTGCATTGATGACAGACACAGATAACTGTCAACTGGTGTTTTGAATCATCGTTGGGAGAGCAGTATGAAGCTTGGAGTTGACATAATTCCAACACAAAGCAAAGACTCCGAGAAAATTGCCATCTCCCATCACTTGCCATTTTTACGTGAAGTACCACGAGTTTGACTTCGGGCACACTTCTGTTAGGACTTCAGTTACTCCATCTATAAAATGAAGGGGTGGAAGGGATAGTCTCTAAGTCCCAGCTCTGATGATAGGTGGTCTTCCATGTTTCTACTAAGGAGATGAGAGGAAGGAAGAATACTGCCCACTCCTCGGCCAGAGGAAATTCATGGTGCCAGGTTGGGGGCAAAGCTGGGAGTTAGACTTCTACCAACAGGGGTGTCGTGTCCCTGCAGCACATGAATGTTGGCTCCCAGACTTGGTCCCTGCCCTAGAGGAGCCCACAGTCTAAAGAGGAGAGTGAAGGAGAGAGGCACGTACATGGCCTGTATACAGGAGAGGTATCTGTGAGCATGGCAGGCAAGGGGGTCACGAGGTAGAGGCACAGCGCTGTGGGAGCCTGATCTTTTAGGGGAACATGGTTTCACTTTTTTAAAAGTGAGAACTAACATTTACTGAGCAATTAGTATGTGCCAGGTGCTGTTCCAATTGCGTTACATGTGTTAACTTATTTACTTATCTCAACGATCTTATAAAGTAGGTACTAAATTAGAATCCCCCATCTAATTGGAAATGGAAGGACAAAGAGATGAAGTAACTTGCTGAAGGTTATACAGCTTGTAATTGGAATAGCTGGGATTCAAATCCAGGCAATCTGATTCCAGATTTTATGTTCGGAACCACCATATGCTCTGCCTAAAATTGGGTGGGGCTCTCTGAAGCTCCTTATGCCTCTCCACACACTTCAGCAACATGGGTTTTCTTAGGAGCAACTGGCTCAGAAAGGCAGAGCATTGTGGCTGAGACACTAGTTTAATGCACATGTATTTTAAATTCTGCAAATCAGCATACTCCTGACATATCACAGTATCCACCATATAACAAAAAAATGATCAGACATCTGAAAAAGCAGGGAATGTGAGCCAAAATCAAGGGGAAGAAAACAGCCAATAGAAACAACTCAGGTATGACGCAGATGTTAGAATAAATATACAAAGGCTTTAAAACAGCTACTAACACATGTTTGATAATTTAAAGAAAAAATGATAACTGATGAACAGATGGAGAATTGCAACATAAAAATAGAAAGTATAAGAAAAGTACAATCTCTGAAATGAAAAATTCACCAGAGGAGCTTAACAGCAGATTGGAAACTACCCCC